TTTTTTATTTTTTTATATAATTTTAAAATTTTTTAATTTTATATATTGATTTAAGGATTTCTGCACTGTTTTAAAAAAAATTAATTAATTATATAAATTTAAAAAACTGTTAATAACACCCTTATTTTTGTTAATACCAATTTTAGATCATCAATTAAAGAATATCAGTAAAATTCCAAAATCGATATGAATTCTTTTTCTTCTTCATCATTAGCATATTCTTCACCTTCAAAAGAAGGCAAAAACAATAAATTCAAGATCTGAAAATAATACATTGGCATTACTTTTGGAAGACATTACTGTGGAAATTTTTTTTTCATACTTGTCATTAATTATATATCAAGTTACTTATGCATGCATATTACTATCTTTGGATTAGCATTGTATCATATATATGAAAAATACTGTGAAAAGAAATTTATGGATAATCAATTGATGCGATAAGTTTTATTTGAGATTAATAAAGAGGGAAGTTTAGACAAATTAGAAGTAATTATGTAAAAACAGTGCAAAAAAAATTTTAGCAGGCAAATTTGCCCGCATTATGGTTTAAGGAATAATCACATTTTAAATACTTAATTTAATAATAATATAATTACTGTATATAGAATAAATATTTTATAATTATACTCTTTTGTAATTACAATTTTATGTAAAAAAACTTAGGTAATTATAGAAAGAAAAACTGTAATTGGTTTTCAGTATCACTGACTTTATTTTTATAACCAGTCTAATGCTTTTGATTACTGTATAAACGCGAAATAATGCCCACCTGTGCATTAATTAATTGACCTGTGCGTTAATTAATTGAGGGTTGATTTTCAAATTAAACATATGTTATCATATAAATAAAATTTTCTATTTATGACAAGATTTAAAAGTGCTCCGAAGCAAGGTTTTAGCACTAAATAAAACCTACGTCTTGACCTGAAAAACAACTTTTATTAAAGCCCGAAAATAGGTTTAATTAATACTAAACCTAGTTCTGAAGCATTTTTTATTTTTAATTTTTTATGTAAAGAAAAGGGGGATGCACGTTAATTTGAGACGCCTATGGGTGCTAATTCGGGACTACATACATTAATTTGAAGGTCGATTTGCCCACGGGCGTTATTTCGCGTTTATACGGTAGTCAAAAAATTCGACCAATAAATATTATAACAGTTAATATAATACTACATAACGGTAGCTAATTTTGGTATATATAAACTTTAACCCCTCATCTAAACTTAATCAAAAACAGCTTAATGCAGGCCGTATAACGATAATCTTATATGCTCAGCCCCAGAAAACTAAGAATTGACCTTGATGAATATTTTTGTTAAAAAACTTCATCTAAATTAATTCTTAGCTCTCCGGAAATTGTGCGCCTCAACATAACGCCCGGGTGTTTCAAAAGTCATTATGCACGTCCCTTTTTTAAGTGACCTTGTATAAAGTTTACGTACAGTATATCATAATCTATAAGAAAAAAGGAACGTATATAATGACTTTTGAAACACTCATTATAATAGGCCCCAAGTATAGCACGTACGTACGTACGTACATGGTTGAAGGTTAGAGCATGCATATTTCATACGTATTTGTAGCAGGTAATCTAGATGTTCAAAAAAACAATAATAGATTGGTCTACTACGTACTGCACTGTGGGGGATTTTACAACCGGTTTTGCCAAGATAAATTTAGGTAGTGATCTGTAACCACGTTTTACCGTGTCGTGTTATAATTAGTTATCACTTTATCACTTGCGATAAATAAATAACGATAGTCATGCAGGTTCTATTAGTTGCAGAAATTACGATGCTATAAAAAGGCTTTACACTAAACTTTAACTCAATATTGAAATAAGATGCCTCCTACTCAAGCTGAACTTGAATCATTAAAGGCCAGGTATACTGCTGCTGGTCAAGATCATCTTTTTACCTTTTATGAAGATCTTAAACCTGAAGAGCAGACCATTCTTTTCAACCAACTTGATAAACTTGATATTGAACGCGTTAATCAAATTTTCAAGAAAGCCACGTCAGGAAATACCTCTGATGTTAAAAAACAAAATTTGGAACCGTTACCTGATGATGTATTTGATTCAATATTAGATGCAAGTGAAGATAAGATTAAAGACTGGGAAAAATTAGGGTTTAATGCGATCGCTCAAAATAAAGTTTGTGTCATTTTGATGGCCGGTGGCCAAGGAACTAGGCTAGGTTCATCAGCTCCAAAGGGTTGTTATGATATTCATTTGCCATCGGGTAAATCCTTGTTTCAACTTCAAGCAGAACGCATTCTAAGGCTACAAAAAGTCGCACAAGATTTCGCGAAAACCGAAAATGAAGTGATAATTCCGTGGTACATAATGACTAGTGGCCCAACAAGATCAGCTACTGAAACATTTTTCAAACAACACAATTATTTTGGATTAAAAGAAGAGAACGTTATCTTTTTTGAGCAAGGTAAGAATAAGCGCGTTTATTTCATTTGGTATTGTGTCACGAAATCCAACTATTTCCGTTGAATTTCATAATTAGGGACTTTACCCGCATTGACTTATGAAGGAAAAGTATTTATGGAAACAAAATCTACTGTATGTATCTAATAATGTTTATATTTTTTGCGTGTATGCTAATGTTCGTTTTAAAAATTGTTAGCTTGCCGTTGCTCCTGATGGTAATGGTGGAATGTATGCGGCCCTACGAAAGGAAAAGATTCTTGAATCAATGAGCTCGAGAAATATTAGTTATGCACACGCTTATTGTGTTGACAATTGTCTTGTTCGCGTTGCCGATCCTGTTTTCATTGGCTATTGTATCACCAAAAACGCTGATTGTGGTGCCAAAGTCGTTCGTAAAACTGACCCACATGAATCTGTAGGTGTTATTGCCCTTCGCGATGGCAAGCTTAACGTGGTAGAATATAGTGAGATCGAACCTGCAGTTGCTGAGCAGAGAAAGCCTAATGGCCAGCTATCCTTTGGTGCAGCTAATATTGCAAACCACTTTTACACAGTTGATTTCCTCAATTGTATAGAATCATTTGAAAATGAACTTGAATATCATATAGCAAATAAGAAGATTAAACATATTGACGTTAACACTGGAGAACTGATCGCCCCTTCCAAACCAAACGGCATGAAACTTGAGCTCTTTGTCTTTGACGTTTTTCCCTTCACTAAACGCATGGCAGTTCTTGAAGCTGATAGAAAAGAAGAATTCTCACCTTTAAAGAACGCACCGGGTACCGTATGTGATAACCCCGAAACAAGCCGAAGGGACATCATAAACCAACATGTGAGATTTGTTGAAAAAGCTGGTGGTAAAGTCATACCGGGTGATGGTGATTCACCTGATCACCTTACTTTTGAAATTTCACCATTGGTTAGTTATTCTGGTGAGGGCTTAGAAATGTTAAAAGGAAAAACTATCAAAACACCTTTTGTTTGTAAGTCCCCGGCTGATTTAGATAATTTACTATAATTTAATTTATGAATACTTGGTGAATAAACTTTTGATTCTTATTTATTATGATTATTCCTGTATTTTATTTATAATTTATCGTCTTTATTCACATTTCTTTGGACTTTACGTTCCATACGTATTTTGCAAAAGATAACTATTTCCAGGTAGCATAGTGGTGGCAGAAAAAAATTCTAGATCAGGCGTTAAAATTTATGCAATTAGATATATTACAATGATAATTTTTTGATCGTTGATTGGGTAGGGATTAGAACCGTTTACCCGTTTAAAAGTTGCTCCATAGTTCCAGGCGGAATTATGTTGGTCGTGAGCTGGAATTATTTTAATGCCGGCCAAATTAAGCGGTTAAACGATTAAGAAAAATTTTAGGCGGTTCCAATCCCTATGATTGGGTCACAATCACCTGATCATGAATTTTTTCTGCCACCACCATTGTTACTACAATATCCTCTTGCAAATTGCATCATATGATCCCATCTCGCACGGAATAAATTTTTAAAGAATTATTGGTGATTTATCAAATGTAAAAATTTTTTTAAAAAAAATTGGTGCTATTACTAAGACCTATTATCCGCTGAACTTTATATTTTGTCCGTATAAATTCTCAACATTTCACGCGAAGCTATATGTTAAAGCCCTTGAGACTTGAAACGAATTATCATGTTTGAGATTTGAGTAAGATTTTGAAAATTTTTAGTTTGGAAGCACGAAATACAATCCTATTCAATTGTCACGGATTAAAACGATGGTAGGTCACCTAGAGGATCAATTATTTATGTATAAATAAGGGAGATGGCTAAAGCCATGCACCCACGTGATTTTGAGGTTTTAGTTAAAATTAGGGTTAGGGCTACTTGAGCGTTAGTATAAGGCAGGTATATAGGTAAAATTTCCTTCCTAACATTTTTTGTTAACGCACAATACAGGTTTAGACTGCCATTTTTTTATATTTTAACTTCAAAATTCACGATTCCGATTGGTTGATTTACACAAAAAAGTCACGTGAACATATGGCTTTAGTTATGTTGATCTTTTGAAGGAGTAATCTAAATCGCCCACTTTTTACAAACAATTTTCTCGAAGCCAAGCGGGAGTTAACAGAAATATGTAAGGCTTTTTATATAAGTTTTACAGTTGTATAGTTTAGCTTCTCAGTTTCTACTTGATACTCTTGATCAGAAATTTTTGCTCAAAATAATCTGGAGGATGTGGCACCAAAACTTAAATGGTTAATAGGCATGCTATTTATTATAATTTTGAAATACTCTGAGTAGAAAATCAAAGTTTGAAAAGAAAGTTCTAAAATAATCTGAAAGATACAAAATCACACATATATAATCAGCCATGGCTTTCTAACGACATTATCTTATATGTTATATCTTATATGTATCAGTTGGTAATTTTTTTGTATTATGACGATCAGGTTCAATAATTTCAAGATAATGTGGATAGCATAATTTTTTTCCGACTTCCAAATAATTATACCGACTGAATGTGCCCTTTTCTTTTGCTTTTCTGAATGCATTGTCAGTAATTCCACGATATTGCTTTGGATTTATTTGGCAATTACGAACTGAACAAGGGCTAAGATTTTTTTTAGTCATTATGGATAGTTTTGAAATTTATTAATTTTTTAAAAAAGCGCGTTTTTTAATTTATTAAACCCAAATATTATTATAGATGATTATTTATACACATTCGGATAAATTTTTTTAATATGTTACAGTACTTTAATTACAATACGATAACTTTTACGTTGCCTGCGAAATATTTTGGTAATCAGGTAGTGTGTCTATAAAATTATTTCTTTCCCGTAATAAATTGAACTAAAACCACGTTAAGTAGAACAATTTAGTGCTTATTAGTAAAATTTTACAAGAACATTTTAATTAGGAGGCTTACAGCTGTTATCATTATTCC